AAAAAAAAAAAAAAAAAAAAAAGTGACAATACTCACTTCTGATGTCTTGGGTGATTTCAGGGGACAAGGACACGGGAAGAAGTGTGTGGCTGAGGAGGGTGACAATAAGGGAACAGTTCCTGCAGGGTTTTGCTGGGGAACTTCGAGGAATTCTGAGAAGAATCACCTGCCCTCTTCGAGGTCTCAGTGGAAGTTAGACCACAGGCATCTGTCACCCGTCCCAAGGGTGCCACCTCAGTCCCAGGCACACTTCTGGCTCCTCAGTGACGGCCACCGTCATCACATCCGGGAACATCGGGCCCCATGAGACCCGAGTTCAGCAGTGCCTTGAGTAGCAGCACGTGGCTGGGGGGTGAAGGAAGCGTGCATCACACGTGACGACAGAGGCAGAGCGTGTCGGTGCCCAGGTGTGAGCTGGAGGGATATTTGGACTCAGATTCCGAAAAGGGGAAGGAGGGCTCTGCGCGCTGTGGGGAGAGGCAGGGGAATGGGTCAGCAAGGCTGCAAACAGGCTGCTCTTGGTGTGCCTGTGATGTGTTTCTGGGTGTCTGCCGTTTGCTCTGTGGGTTAGAAAGATTGAAAAGGAGCTTTTCCTTGGGTAGGAAAGAAAGGCAGAGAAGGAGCCAGGATAAAGCATAAGTGGACCAGGAAATAAGAAAAAAAAAGATTTATGGAACTTCTGAAATCTGCTTCTGCCTGTGAACAAAAAAGCTAGACACAAACATGGCACAAAATACCATTAAATATGTAGGTAAAAATAAAGTGTGTGCAGGATTTGTATGCTGAAAGCTAGAAAGCATTTATCAGAGAATTCATGGAAGAAATAAACAACTAAAAGACCAAGCTGTGCTCGCACAGTGGAAGGTGTTAGGGTGTCTAGCCTTGCATGGTAGCACACAACTGTAACCCTGGCTACTTCGGGAGCAGGAGTTTGAGGCCAGTCTGGACACCTTAGTGAGACCCTCTCTCAAAATAAAATGTAAAAAGGGGTGGGGATGTAGTTCTGTAATGGCACAGTGCCAGCGAGTAATACAGCTCTCTTGTTACAGCTCAATGCAGGTAGTCCAAGGGAGTGAAAGATGCACCAGAACAGCCAGAGGCAACATGTACAGCTTTATTTTTAATGCCAGTGGGTC